CGTTCTTGGCTTGCCCCCCGGCGTGTGCGCGCTCCGGGATCCGCCTCAGGCAGCCTGTCCCCCTTCTCGCTGCGTCCATCCAGAGTGCCTCGAACAGGAGCGAGCCGCTGTGCGCTGACTTCCCCCAGGACTGGGCAGGCCTGGGGACAGGAGAGTTTCCAAGCAGCAGCCCCAGGATCGGAGCTGTTGCTGGGAGCAGCTTCCGCTACACGAGGCATCGGGGTGTTTTCCGGTTTGTGGGTGACAGGCAGGGCCGGGAACAAGTGTCTGTGAGGCTTGGGGTGTTCCCGTGCAGTGGGGCCGAGCTGTCCCCACCTCTCTCTGCCTTTCAGCTCTGGTGGGTTTGGGGTGAGATGGACCCTGGGGCGCGGCTCCTGGGCTGGGCCGTAGTGCTTGGAGCACACGATCCTTTCTCAGGTCAGGGCCGTGCGCTGTGACTGGCACGGTGCGAATGAATCCATCGCCCTGAGGAATGGCAGCCCAGCACGCTCACAAGGGGCGGCGAGGAGACGAAGGGGGTGAGCCAGTGGGGCTGCAGAGATGAGAGGATGTTGGGGAAGGGGGGACGCCGCGGGGGAGCGTCGGCATGAGACTGTGCATGCGGTGCGAGCAGATGGGAAAGAAAGGGGCGTGGGCTCACTTGGCATCCGGGATACCGGGGGTGGGGGGGTGGCCGAGCGCTGCCCATCCTGTCCTTACCTTGCCATTGTTTGCTGCCTCGTCATGCTGGCCTGGGGACCCCCTGGCTGGAGCGGCCCATGCTCTGTGCTGGGGACCGTGTGCTCCTCTGTCTCATAGGCCACGTACTGCTAACAGCTAGTGGAGATGCTCCTGGAGTTAGTTCTGCCCTCTCTTCACCCACGTCCGCTCTGCAGAATCTTGTGGGGGGGCGGAGAGTGACACAGGGCGGGTTCGAGGTCGCCGTGGCTTTGTTACACCTTGCACGCCGCCGCCATGCCAGCCTCCATCCGGGCATCAGCTGGTGGGCGGTGCTTCTGCTTCCTGTTCTGTCCCCAGCCACAACCTCCTGCCAGACCAGAGAGGAGCGAGCAGGGGGCGGAGAAGGGGTGGTGTGAGGGCGGGGCCTAAATGAGAAGGGGTGGGGCCATGGTTCGGGCGCTGTTGGCTCCCCCACTTTGAGGGACCTTCTGCCGCTCCTGCCCTGGTCCTTCCCCAAATCTCTGCAGGGCTGTTCCCTACGGTGTAGGGTCCAGTCTGCACCACACAGCTCCATAAAACAGGCGGCCGTAAAGTGGTGTGTGGTCCTTTCTCATTGGATCGATTGATCGATCTGACTGTCTTGTCTAGGGCCCCAGGCCCTGCAGTTTCTGAGCCCAGTTACTTATTCAGATTCATACAGATGTGGCCATAACACTCACAGCTCCTCGGCTCTCCTGGGCCTAGAAGGAACTGGACTGACCCGTGATAGGAAGCAAATGGGGTTTCACTGCAAGAGGTTTCCCCTGGATTTTGCTATAAATGAGGTTTGGTCATTGCTCAAGTTTAGGGCTTAACGGTAACCCGATGCTGCCCTTTCTTCAGGGATGTAGCAGTTCCCCGGGCAGGGTCAGCAAAGGGAGGTGCTGAGTGTTGCTTACTTTGCTCCATGTTGGATGCTGTTCGTGGGCTAGTGGTGGCAGGAAAACCCCGGTCAGGGGGTGTTTGATCGCTGGGTAAAAAGCCCCCAGCCAGATGTCCCTGTGCAATTGCAGGGGTGCTGCAGCCTCTGTGTTGGTGTCTCTCTGGCAGATCTATCGGAGATGCTGGCTGGTGTTCAGGAAATCCTCCAGTAAAGGGCCCCAGCGGCTAGAGAAGTATCCGGACGAGAAGTCAGTGTGCCTGCGTGGAAGCCCAAAGGTTGGAGAGTCTCTGCATATCTGCTGCCCCTTTGCTCTGACGCGGCTGAATAAATCACCGAGGCAGAGCTCCCGCCCCCAGCCAGCGCTCTTACCCCATTCCCCACAGCGCTGCCTGCTGGGTGGGACCAGAGCAGCTGGGCGCTCCCCCATAGCCAGCGCTCCCTCCCCACTTGTCTCAGTGATTCTTACGGGGCCTGGCCAAAAGTACGTTGCGGTGAAGACTACCTTGGGCAGGGTGATTGTTATGGGGTATGTACGGTATGAGGGTATGCAAGTGTCCAAGTGTCATGGCCCTTTACCTGCCTATGCCCCGATGAGCTTACGCTTCTCCTTCCCTACCCTGGGTTCCTCAGGAGAACCATTTTCTGGCCAGATGTTTTCTTGCTGCAGTTGATCTCCGATAGCTATGGGACTCTTCCCTTGAAATACAGGTTCTCACGTGGCTTTCTATGCCCCCCATGCTGAGGGCCCCTGCGGCTCA